TCACTTGGGAATTAACAATGATTGGGCAAGTCCAAGTGAGGTCACGGGCAATGGTCAAACAGGGTTTAACTACTGTACTGCAATTAAGTACTTCCAGAAAAACACAAGAAACCTAAAGTTGGCAAGTAATTAGGATTGAAAATATAATTAAAATAATCCAAGCATCATTACAGTCAATAATTACCCTGCAATCAAATCGTCAACTATAGATTCGGAATCAGCATGCTCAGGAGTACCTACAGTATACTGTACTGCGATTTTCAGCAAAACCAAATTTCTGACCAAAACTGACAAAATATTAAGTAATTTTTTTACATAAATATACAGGTACTTTTCTCTCAAAATTGGAATTTAATGAGTCTAACTGATTAAGTACTTCCACCAATATAACACAAACACCATAATCATACCTCAGAAACCCATAGTTGGCGAGTAATTTGCCTTGAAATGATGTATACGTAATATACGTAAGTAAATTGTTCCGAGCATTATTATGGCCACTAATTACCCCACAATCGAATCGTGGACCATAGATTCAGAATCAGCATGCTCAGGAGTATCTATACTGAGATTTTCAATAAAATCTATTTTTGCAAAAATCGGAATTGGAATTTAATGAGTCTTAACTGAGTAAGTACTTCCAGTATAACACAATCACCAAAATTGCAACTCGGAAACCCATAGTTGGCAAGTAATTAGCATTTAAATAATGTAATTACTGTAATATCTTGCAAGCATCATTACCACCACTAATTACCCTGCAATCAAATCGTGGGCCATAGATTCATAATCGGCATGCCAGGAGTACCTATACTGCACTGTACAGTACTGCGATTTAAAATGTAGAGAGAGATGTGCCTATAAAGCTCCTCCCCAACTTACGACGGGGTTAGGGACCCAAATCCAGGTCGTAAGTCGAAAATGCTTAAATAATACATAGAAAATCTAAAATTGGTGTCTCTTTTTCTTCTCAGCATCACAAAATTCTCACTTTTAAGCTTGCCAGCCATTTTAAAGTGAATTGCAAACGAAAATTTTGTCTGTGTACTGACGTTTGGTCTCGAAAATACAGAATTTGACAAAACTTTGGTACGACTGATGCAGGTTGTAAGTGCGGGTGGTCGTAAGTCGAGTAGGTCGTAAGTCGGGGAGGAGTTGTAGGTTGTTTCATTGGCATTATTCTGGTGGGTGTCTCATAAATAAGAAAAATTTGGTAATTGTAGGAAAAATCAACGTATACACAGACTGTTTCACTCATCTTCTGTTAAATGCCAAGAAACTTGAACATACAGTATTACTTAAAAAATTATTATGGTGGATTTCGTTTCATAAATGGGAAAAAGACTGTGAATGTAAACTGAAAATATCATAAGGTGGACGTGAGAATAAACTGCTTCACTGTCCATGCTAATACAATATTAACATTGCTTTTGGGTTAGCTAGAACATAAATTTTGGTGGGTTGGCCCGCAGAAAAATACATAAATCGTAATGCGGCCCACGACTGAGGAAAGGTTGCCCATGCCCTGCATACAGTATTAGAGCCATAATAATGTACAATGGTGGTTAAAATTCCAGCAAATGGTCTCAGTGGTTCTAAGAATCTGCCATACATTTTCCAATTACAGTACAGTACTGTACTGTACTTAAAAGGATTTGTAATTTCACAATGATAGAACACCTTTAGTAACACAACCTCTCAAAAATACAGCAGTTTACTTGTGTCATGTTGCAAGGGAGACTGGCAAACCCCTCTTCATGAGTCATTGAGAGAATTCTAACTTCAATGAAACATAGCTCGTGTTCCCTCTGGGGTGCAATACCTGGATTTTAGGAATGAAACAGTCCTAAACATTTCCTCCCTTTAACAGAGGGTAAGGATTCCTTAATCCACCCACATATGAACAAAAACTGGAACACAAGAAACATCCATTGATAATGGTCATAGTCCCTACAGTAAACATCAATTATGTTGGCCACCAAGTAAGGTTTAAAGGAAGTAACACTACTGTACAGTACTTTGAAGGGTGTGACTCAGCTCTATTCAGCAAGAACCAGCTAGTACAGTACAGAGTATAGCAAATTTTAATTACCCTCATTGATTTGTCTATCATTGAACAGTTCCCTTCAATCTTTATTATCAGAGTAGTATATATAAAATCCCCTTACAACATACTATACTATACAGCACAGTATAGTATTAAAAGGCAGGCATGCCCATTCCTACAGGTACTAGCGGTTGCCATTTAGCCACTCAACCCACAACCATGGGAAAATAACCCATCTTATACTGTAATAGAGAAGATGGGGGTTAGGCCTCAAAACCCAGTAATAGGAGCATCTTACAAATGTACAAAGTCAGATAACCTCCAAGAAACAATACAGCTCACTCTCCAACACACAGGCTAAACCATTATCAAAATATAAAGAACCCTTGTAATGAGAAAAATATAGGCAATTTATGACTAAATTTTTTGTACTCCCTACAACTGCAGCTCCAGCCTATAAACCTTTTCCAAAAGTGTGAAATGATATGGAACCATAGCTCGTAATTCCCCAAATATACAACAACTTCCTGTTTTTAATAGCAACTCTTGCTTCCATTCTCACTTTTGAAGGTGACTGTAGTTAAAGGGTACTGTATATATGGATATTTCTTCAAATTGATTTGCTGATCCTGTCACCAATGTTTAGAGGCTGCCTGTGACGAGAAATAAATACTTGGTGCAAAAAATTTACTTGAGCCATCTTGCAGAGGGCATCATGCTATGAAATAAAACCCTATTACTGTATGTTTTTACTGTCTAGTCCAACCTGCATGTATGTCCTACAATACAGTACAGCATAAAAATTTCTATATTTAAATGGGAGAAAATTTAACTAATTACTGCAGAATTCATGAGTTACAAGTAAATGTTCTAAATTTTCAGAGCAGCATTAATTAAGGAAGTGACCTGTAAAGGTTCAACCAATTCATTCAAACACCAAAAATCCGTCCTATTATGGTCACTCAGTGGGCCGCTTTGTTAATACAGATATTGAGCCTCAAATCTGGGACACTTGGGACCACAACTGAATTGGTGTTGAAGATTGACTAGATTTCTGTAGTCTACAGCACATTAAATTTCCTTCCCTCCAGTAAACATCAGTTTTGTTTCACACAATATCAGTAAAACATTGGCTTTATTTCTTCAATCACAAAACAAAGAAAATATCATTACAGTGATCCCTCGGTTAACGAATTACCTTCCATAAGATTCTTCACTTCGGTTTACGAATTCCTTACGAATTTTTCCCAACATGTTTTCGCCTGCTTTTGCCTGCTCACCAGCTGTAGTATTAGTCCGCCAATACAGTAATCGGTTTTAGGGCTTAAATTCGTTACCATTTGAGTAAATATCAAGAAAGTTGTACTATTCAATATTTTTCCAAGTCTCATATTAAAGTTTTTAGTCATTTTAGCAATTATTTAATATAATTGAAGTACAGGGAACTAGTTTTTAGTGCGCCAAACAGCCACTTGACTCACCCAATTATTGGTCATTCTGAAGTTTATTTTACATATTGACAATATATAATGCAGTGCAGTGTTGATTTATTTAAAGAAAATAATTTTGAATTACACCAAGTGAACTAAAATTTTATAGGTGAAATGGCGGCATGGGGTGACTTCTCTTCCACCCCAATGCCTTCTCTTCTCCCTTCTCCTCCACCCCCATTCTAATTCTCATCATCATCAACCAGAAGCCTTCTACATGCACACCTCAAAGTAAGTGTTCTTTACTGCATTTATTTTTAGTTTGTATGTAGTTTTTGGTGAGCTGGAACCAATTACCCAAAATCCCATTGAAACAATGGTTTCGGTTAACAAAATTTTTGGTTAACGAAATTTTCGGTTAAAGAACGACATTCTGGAACGAATTGTGTTCGTTAACCGAGGGACCACTGTACTCTACATTCATACTTTAAATTAAAAAATAACATTAAATATAGTCTTTTTATAGACCTTAAATGCAAATTAAATGAGTTTGTTTATGTCCCAACAGCTTTTCACGTCATGATAATTCTACAAGTATAGGGAGTTCATAAATAATTATTATCTAATTGAATGAATAGATCAATACCTTTATAATTCTTTATTCATATTCATTTGTATTAATTAAACATTAGTCTAATTAAAACAGTCAAGGTATTGTTTGCCAAATGCTGCATGATGTCACACAGGATTCTATGATATGATGACACAGTGCTGGTTGACGGTCATGCTACAGTCTGTACTCGTGCAGTACAAACTAATTTTTTTTGTCACTTTTGATTTCATTTTTTTTTTATTTACAATATTCTCTTCCCTTAATATCTTCAATGACTCAGATCCATTAACTTACAGATAATAAGTATCACCCTTTACTTTTGTAGCCTCTGAAAAGCCTTTCTACCTAATATATTGACTACTCCTTGATTTAGCTAACCCCTAGGAACATTTCTCCAAACCCATAAGGCTGAGGGTATTTTGTCAATCTTTTCTTCAAGGATTTTGAACAAATATAAAGTGAGACTGTAGACTAGTGAGAAAATTTGTACTTCACATCTTAGCAAAATAAAACTCAAGACTGGACTTAAGTACAGTATTTCACTAACCCGACACATATGGTACAGTATGTTCTTACGATTCATGCAGTACACATATGTATACAACTGCACAGTTGATGACATTATATAGTATTTTAGGAATTTTTGTGCTCATGCTTGATATTGACCAATGTTTCAGCTTAGTCATATGCAGAAATTCTGTGCACGAGGAAACCTACACATATTTCACTGGCATAAAACAATGGACTAACAAATATACATCAACAAACACAATGATACCAACACAAGAGTTTCTTCCATTATTAATTTCCGATTTCACAAACTTCTAGGTAATTACTTGACTATTTACTGTATATAGTATGTCCCTGATACAATCTATAACAAATTATTCCTTTTTTGACAAAACCTTACCTGGAGACCTACTGGTTGCTGATCTGGGACTTGTAGCTTCCTTAAAGGAAACATTCACGCTTCCTGTTCGCCTGTGAATTCTTGCAGGTTGTTCATCACTATCCCAGAATAGCTGTAAAAGAAAAGGAAATCTTATCATTAGGACACATGTATACAGTATACTGTAAGAAACTTCATATACGGTATATAAAACTGAAACTCCTCTCTCTTAGAGATGAATGGAATATTATCTTTACCTGTACAGTATACTGCTTCCAATACCCATGAACTCAAGAGTCAATACTAATAACCTTTTCAAGTGGCCTAAAATTCTAATGGATCCCCAACATTAGCTAGCTATAAGGTACACTAGATATAACTCTTAACGTGCAAAGTTCCTTTTCATTATCCCTTTCAACCACACAGATGTACAGTAACTCATACACTTGGGACCTGAGACCTACGGATGTACGAGATAGTTATGTCTTGATGGCTCCCGCCCCATTTCAAGTCTCCTAGAGTGGCCATGAGCATTAAGCTATGTATTGTCATGTCATCAGCAGTAATAATTCACCCTCAGAAATTACAAAGGTGCTCAATTACCCTATAAACATCATAGTGGAAGGACATCTATAGGAATGTGCATATGACAGCCAGGAGTGATACCCATGCATCTGGGGAGAAATAGATGCAATTGGATGAATTAATGATATAAAGGAATATGATGATGATGAAGTGTAGCTTAAGACTACTGTATAAGCAACATGTCGGCAGAGGGAGATGTTAGGGTGACATAGTGGCCCAAAGTATCATAACATTGGGGAAACAGAATCTGCAGCAGCTACCCATTTTTTTTTGTTATAAGGCTTTTAAAATTGATTCATTAATTTTCAAGATCAATCAGTTCCTTTACTTCTTCATTTTACAAACTTTAGACTCAAGGGGATGCAAAAATAAAGGCACTTAGGATTGAAAGGGTTAAAAACAAAGCATTACGTTTACACCATAAAATACTGTAATTATCTTTACAATTAAATTCGTCCCTCGAACAGTCACACAGATGCTGTGGATGAGTTAATATGCACACTTTCGTTAGCCGTAAATATAATTGCTAGCGGAATTGCACCCCCAAAAAAACTTTCATTTGACGGCCCGTATCATACAGATTTTTAAAAATATATTTACTTAACCAAAGTTTTAGATAAAATATTCATGATTATTTGAGAAAAAAAATCAAACTTAATTAAAACTAATTCTATAGACTCCAGTACAAACATTTCGTATGTTTTTCATAAAAGAATTTAATCCCCCATCATTATGTTGAATATTTTTGTTTAAGGATCTTTTATCCAAAAAATCTTGTAGAGAAGTTAGTCAGTAGTACCAAAATCTTCTCTGGAATACAATTACAACTGATGCTGTGAATAAAAGTTTTTAACACTTTTTTCGCTATCCGTAAATATTTTCGCTCATGATCGCAGCCTGAATGTAATGGGAGTGTTTGTCCACATGAGATGCATAGTTTAAACTCTAGGAAAACTTTCTCCCAGCACAATGGTAGTATTGTATCACTATTACAGTAATATATAAAAATTTCTTCACCTAACAAAGTTTGTTTGCCAAGTTCTAATTCATATTCCCACTTCGTTCATTCAACATTTAAGTTCTTATTTATTAGTGGATACAATACTGTATACAAAAAAATAATATACTGTAACAGATTCTACATACATACCAGTAAAGTGAAGTGAACATTTGAGCACTTGAGCATGTTTGAAACTTCCTGTAGCATAGATGAGGTAGCTGTTCTTATGGCCCGAGACAAAAATTTTCTGCCCAGGGCTAAAATTAATAATTTATTATTATAAGTCTATTTTCAAATGCCCACGACTGTTACCAATAATTGGGGGAAATTTCACCACAAGCAGAGATGTAAGATAATGTTCGACATAACTCATAATTCACAAAATTCCCTCAAACAACAAGGGTAGAAGTTTTAGCTACTGGAGTATAATTTAAGTACAGAACTTTGCCAAATAGGACAGGTACTTTTAATTATCAGTGTACTTTTTGTTTTAATTTTCATCTGTTTATTCTATGTACAGGTATTACAATTTATTACAATGATTACAGTATTTAGACATTTATTCAATGTTGACCTTTCAAGGGGTTCTTTTATGGAAACCAAAAATGGTATTCATGAATTTTACTACAGTATTCGTGGTGTTTCTTAAACCTACCCAGTGTAAACAACGAGTGATGCTTGTGTTAACATAAACAGTACAGTACGTACTGTGCAGTATATACCCGGCCTCGAAACTCCTTAAAACAATGTAAATATACATATGAAGTTTTTATACCCAACAAGTGTATGAACACTACCATTCCAAAAAAAATATTTTACGAGTAACCTACATGCATACAAGGATAGGGAATACAGTATGCACATAAGAGCTGGCCCTATTAAGTGCACTGTGGGTTCACATTGGATTCACATCTGATAGCTACCTACACTTCTCATTTATCCGAAAGCATGCACATCTCTGTGTTTATATCTCCATTTTTTTCACTTTTATTAGAGTGATTTATTATCATACCTTTTAAGTATTTATAAATTTATGTTAATGCTGTACAGTACAATAAAAACAATAACAATGATTGACAATTTTCATATTGTAAGTTTGGCGACTTTGCCCCAAACAGTGTATGCTTTCCAGCAACCGATGATTTATCTTCAATAAGATCAACCTACCAAACCCAAATTATCTATGCTAGGTTAGAAGTGCATTAGCTTAGGTTAGGGTATTAACTATTTTATAACTTTACCTTATGGGTCATTCCATCATGAGGCTTATTACAGTTTTACTTTAGTAATATGATACAAATGTGGACTAAAACTGTACTGTACTGTACAGTATACGTACAGGTAATCAAAAGGCTCTTACAGCATATATTACCAACACTTCGAGTTACTTCAATGCATGGTATTTTCCCACACAACTAGGCATTACGCCATGTAGTTATCCTAAAGAGACAAAGGTGAACAGACATCCATCTACTGTACTTGTGATCCTGACTCCCCTCCTCTGCTATAAAACAATGTAAGGCAGCTTTGAATACAGTACTGTAGTTTTAAATAAGGAGCACCTTAGTGCTACTCATAATGATCAAGAATTGGCAGCAGAGTGATAGTGTTGTGGAGTTTAGTGATACTTAAATGTGAAAGAGAAGACGATGAGAAGCCTATGACTAGAACAATATTTTCTTTTAAGTGGCAAATTGCCCAGCCATGGACCTTTACTTACTTCCCCTATTTGTTCAGCATTTGTTCTAATTGGTCAAGACTGATGACCAAGATTAATGAATTTAGTCACTTGCAAACATGGTGACCATTACCTATATTTTTTGCAAAGTGGGTATTTACACCCGATAGTGCATATAACAATTTCGATATTTGCACAGATAAACCAATCCCCTTGTTGATGGGAATCGGGTGCAAATAATTCAACCATTATTTTAAACCCAGGTTTCAACACTATCATATATCGATTACTACAAGAATTTCGCACTGACAAAATTCAATTGCAGATAAAAGTTTCACTATCTCTTTAAGACTTTAAACAAACCAATAGGTAAAGTTAGGTAGGTTTCTTTGGTTAGGTTAGGAGCCTCCTGGCTATGGAGTTAGGTAAGGCTAGGTTCTGTACCAGATATCAAAGTACATGTGTACAATAATGGAGCAAATAATGTATGAGATGATTTTAATTTACACAATTCCATTAAAAACATTAATGACAAATGCAAAAAGTTGGAACAAATAACTTCATTGGTCTTTTTTTAATCCAATTAAAATATTTACACACTTATTTTTCATCTTTCCTTCATTGGAAATGATTCGGTAATATCAAGTGCAAATGGGTTCAGTAATTTGCACCAGAATTTCACATTGACACTTCAGGTGCTGATAACAGTTTCACTAAGTTAATCACAATATGTACTGTATTTCAGATTTTTTACCATTACAGTATCACTCTAGTGCATTTTTTCCTAGCTGAGAAGATATGCCCCGCCCCCTCCTCAAGAGTTACAGCTGATTGACTGTTGCAAATCTGTCCGATTTCGTCCTGAACCAATGATGTATTTCTAAATGAGTTTATTCTTAATCGTTAGGATGACCGTTTCTGACGAAAAAGATATATCGCTAAATTATATAAAGATACATACATTCATTATTTCAAACATGAGTATGTAGAAAGTTTATCAGAAATCTTATACAGTACATATATGAATTAACCGTTAAACTCTGGTAGCAAATTCACGCTTTCGGAGGACGCATTTAATACATACTTATTTTTACCCACAATAAGGAATACTAAGACAAATTACATATCAGTTATACACCCTGTACTACATTATGCAAAAACTAACCATACTGAAATATTACACGGTCGTCAGCAGAGGCGGGAAATATGACTGCGAACAACTTCCTTTTTCCCGCCTCTGCTGACGGCTCGAGCGGCCAAGTTCCCTCGTCATTCACACTCATCCACCAACTTTCAGGGGCCGTGTATTATTTCAATGTGATTCTGATCTTTTAAATACAATCTGTCTCATTTTAAAAGGATGGTTTTCCGACATCTTTGTGGTGTAGATTAATATAATATTTTTCTTTTCTATTTTTAATTTCCTTTTACTCTTATTTTTTCGCCCCCCCCTAGGCCCCATTGTGGGTCGATGACCTGTGCCCGGGTGAGCTATTCCCCGTAAAAAAAAAAAATAGTCAACATACGCATTTAGTTGTTGTTGCGCAGAGGAACATTTAAGCATTACTACCACGCACATATTGTTTACTGTAGGTGTCTAACATGGATAAGTCTCTTTAGACTGTCATTCCCTGTTAATATAACCATATTAATTACAGGGTATATTCAAATGAAACAAGTAAATGACAAACGGCAGGAAACGTCTTATATATTACATGTAGGGTGGCCATTTCCAATTTTTCAAAAAGGAGGATACTTTTTCTAGTTTTTTTTTTGTGTCACCTATATTTAACCTAAATTAAGCATGTTTAATGATGAGTTTAAAATATAAAAAAAGTTGTATAAAATATACAAAATATACTTGGAAGAATTGTTGATTCGTCAAATATCACTATAATGTGATGAATGCTATTTTGTGGTCATTTTTCTAAAATTTCATTTTTTTAAACACATTGTACAGTATATATTACATACATGCATTCATACAGTATAAATAAAGAACTGAAAGAAATGAATATTAATTTTTACTCCTGCAGAAACAGCATATGCTAACCAAATTAACTTACTTCACAAACTAAAGGAAGTAGCCTACTTACTATGGACTGCCAGGTATGGATGCCTATTCTTTTTAGTCAGACCCCAAAAAATGAGGACAAATTAACATCCGGCTCGAGGTAGGTAGCGCCGGATGGAGGACAGAGTGCTCAAAAGCCGGCGTCTGGCCACCCTAATAACGTGGCAACCATTATGGCATGCAGGGCTACCACCTTTACGCCTGTTCCTCTACGATTTCCCAAAAACATACGTCCAATGTGTCATATTGTCATGAACAATATTTTTCTGATACAGTACCTTTTTGAGTGACTGTACAAGACAATAAGTTAACCTCTTTTGGTATGAGAAATTATTTTTCTGGTGTATTTTGATGTTTTTTAGTCGATTCTGTACGTCATTTCTTGTGGAAATGAGACATTTTTGGGATGTTTTTCGATTCCTCATGAAAATCTAAAAAATAATAAAAAAAACGGCTCAATTCCACAAGAAGCGAATGCCAAAATCAATTAGAAAACATGAAATTACACTAGAAAAATAATACCTCATACCAAATGGGATAAAAACGAATTTTTATCTTTCACTATCTGCACCCAAAACCCTTGATGAAAAGGTTCTGGCGCAAATAATGATTTTGTTATTTGAACTATCAGGTGCAAATACCTTCAGCCAATTTTTATTTATGCCTTCCAGAAGGATTACTACTTAACAGTGCATGTGAGCACAGCAAAGCTACTACATATTTATATAAAGTACAGTAATCAGACATAGCACATTATCTGCCAAAACAAATGAATATTGTTTCTGTAGTGCTTGCCCAACTTCCACCTCCTCCTGTACATAAGGAAAAATCATTGTCTTACAAACACCTAATTTTTGGCTATTACTATTATATTGGATTACTCCCAGCCGCTAATATCAGTTCTCTGTGTCCTTAGTGAGGAAATACATTACAAGTCACCAGCAAAGGGCAACTAACCATATACAGTATACCGTACATATTATGTACATAAGGCTATGTATAACCATCTTCCTAAGTTAGAAAAAATAAATAGTTAGGCTTGGGTGAATAACCACCGTTTAAAATATACACGATAAAGGTGGAGACAGGCTTCCACTCTTACCCTTCTCATAGTCAATTATTCATTACATTATGAGGGGGCAATTTCACTTCCCTATTTCATACATTGATTCTTTTATGCAGGAATATTGTAAATAATACAACACCGGCCATACTTTCATAAATATATCAGAGAAAAATTGTGTTGAGGAGGCCGGGAGAGGTGACGTGCCTGGCCTGGGGGGTCTCGGTCACAAGTTATGTAACCTTCCGTCAACAATAACCTCCATTACTATATTTCAGCAACACATAACAATTTATAATCCGTTATCATGGTTGAACTAAATAACCAAACTTGCCATTTATTAGTAAAACATATTACTAACGTAGAGCACAGTGCCGTACAATAGTCCTGTGACCCAACACACCAAAAGCCCTTTGACTGGCCCCTGCCAATATCAGACAAAGACATATAACAAACCTCATCTTCTGGTTCCTGAAGTGCTCCCCGTGTGGTCCTACGAGATTCACGAGACGGTAATGCACTTTTCCTTTCATTTTCAGATACTGGATTCCCTCTCGTAGAAACCATTTTACATCACAAAGGAGACCATCACTACCACTGGAGTCAACAACACACACAGTACTGCCTGCTCTATACTGTCCTCCGAGGAATAAAGTAGTACCCGAGGTATTTATATCATACCAGAAATATGATCTAATGTCGAATTATATTTATTAATTATCATATTATAATACATTTGTTTCGGTAGTGAAAATAAAAAGAAAAGAGAAATGCCGCGAGGGACAGTAACCTCTTGGCTGCGGAGGAATACTGTGTTTAGGAAGGGCGCCAAAACTCGAAATGTGAATTTGGCGCGAAGGATCGGTGAGAAACCTTAATACTCTCCAAATCTGCTGATACAATAGGACAGATGTATTTCATGAAAAATAATTGCATTTGGTAATATATATCATAATATGTTTCTATTTATAATAGTATATTTAAGAAGTGACGAATTCACGAGACAAATGATTGATCAAAATCAAATGCCAGGGACATTATCATCATTCGTAAACAAGATCTATGATTTTTTATCAGCAGCGTTAAGATTGTGTATACACTAGATTCAAGGCACTTTTCAACATAATGGTTTAAGTTAAAGCACAGAACAGATTATAAAATATCTTTAAAAAATTTTCTAAAGGAAATATTATTAGCTTAATAAATACCTAAATAAACGAATCATTTCGACAAGGTGAACGAAATAATAAGAAAAATGTGTTCCGAAGTCGCCCTCTTGTATTACCATGGGATGGGTGTATTACCTGAGGTTTACGCCCCGCAATGTCATTTTAATATAATTAGGAAGCTCTCATAGATATGTTCAACGAATTGACACATAATTTACTTCGAAAATTTTAAACAAACTGTAAGCAAAATGAGTAATAAAGCACGGCTTATTGATTCAAGACAACTTGCAATTTCCTAATACCTGTACGTACCTTACTTTATTCTCTTCGCCACTGGTCGGCTCGTTGGATGTGTGGGCGGTCGGTCACGTCTATGTTATGCACTGTTGGCAAGTGCTGGTTCCAGGTTGTATCTGTACCTGAGCCAGTGTTGGTCAAGTCTGGTGCTCTTGAAAGAGCTCACATTCGGTGCCGTCACCAGGGCCGGATTTAACAATAGGCCAAGTAGGCCATTGGCCTAGGACCCACCGGTATCTGAGGGCCAACTGAAACTAATTTGTCGCGCAGCGTGCCAGGGTATAACCTTGTTTCAAGTGTACACCGAATATTTCAATATATAATATATTCACAACCATAAGTATAGACCGCAGTGGTCAACAGATCATAATCAGCATGTTCAGGAGTACCTATACTGAGATTTCGAACAAAATCTATTTTTGGCCCAAAAAATCCTTTAGGCATAAGACTTACAATTTTTATTTTCGGCCAAAAAAATAGATTACAGTAAAAATCGCAATGCTCGTACTCTAATTGTCTTGTAAATCTGATGATAAGCTAATATATGGATTATTGCTTGTTCAAATGATTTTTAGAATATTTTAATTACTTTTGCAATGCTAATTACTCGCCACTTATGGGTTTTCGAGGTCATTTCTTGGTGCTTGTGTATTATTCTGGATGTACTTAAATAGTTAGGCACATTAAATTTTAGTTCAGAGAGAAAAAGTATTTTTTGGCCAAAAATTCTGTAAGGGGTAAGCCTTACAATTTTTGGCATTTCGTCCACAAATGGATTTTGTTCAAAATTTCAGCATAGGTACTCCTGAATGTGCTGCTTAAGGATCTGTTAACCAAAATTTGATATCTTGATTATAACTTGTTCAAATGGCTTTTAGAAAATGTTCAAATGATTTATAGAATATTTTAATTACTTTTGTAATGCTAATTACTCGCCACTTATGGGTTTTCGAGGTCATTTCTTGGTGCTTGTGTATTATTCTGGATGTACTTAAATAGTTAGGCACATTAAATTTTAGTTCAGAGAGAAAACGTATTTTTGGCCAAAAATCCTTTAAGGCTATAGACTTACAATTTTTGTCATTTTCGGCCAAAAAATGGATTTTGTTCAAAATTTCAGTATGGTACTCCTGAACGTGCTGCTTAAGGATCTGTTAACCAAAATTTGATATCTTGATTATAACTTGTTCAAATGGCTTTTAGAAAATGTTCAAATGATTTTAGAATATTTTAATTACTTTTGCAATGCTAATTACTCGCCACTTATGGGTTTTCGAGGTCATTTCTTGGTGCTTGTGTATTATTCTGGATGTACTTAAATAGTTAGGCACATTAAATTTTAGTTCAGAGAAAAAAAGTATTTTTGGCCAAAAATTCTGTAAGGGGTAAGCCTTACAATTTTTGGAATTTCGTCCAAAATTAGATTTTGCTCAAAATCGCAGTATAGGTACTCCTGAACATGTTGCTTAAGGATCTGTTAACCAAAATTTGATATCTTGATTATAACTTGTTCAAATGGCTTTTAGAAAATGTTCAAATGATTTTTAGAATATTTTAATTACTTTTGCAATGCTAATTACTCGCCACTTATGGGTTTTCGAGGTCATTTCTTGGTGCTTGTGTATTATTCTGGATGTACTTAAATAGTTAGGCACATTAAATTTTAGTTCCGAGAGAAAACGTATTTTTGGCCAAAAATCCTTTAAGGCTATAGACTTACAATTTTTGTCATTTTCGGCCAAAAAATGGATTGTGTTCAAAATTTCAGTATAGGTACTCCTGAACGTGCGTTGCTTTGGGTGACCCATAAGAACTGTAAAATTTGATATCTTGATTATAACTTTTGTTTCAAATGGCTTTTTTAGAAAAATGCCCTAAATGATTTTTGTGAATATTTTAATTACTTTCTTTGGAATGCTAATTACTCGCCACTTATGGCTCGAGGTCATTTTTGGTGCTAGTATTATTCTGATGTGTTTCCTAAATAGAAGAAAATAATAAATTTTAGTTCAGAGAGAAAACGTATTTTTTGGCCAAAAACTTTATGCTATATAGACTTGATAATTTTTGTCATTTTTGGCCAAAAAATGGATTTTGTTCAAAATTTCAGTATAGGTACTCCTGAATGTGCTGCTTAAGGATCTGTTAACCAAAATTTGATATCTTGATTATAACTTGTTCAAATGGCTTTTAGAAAATGTTCAAATGATTTTTAAAATATTTTGATTACTTTTGCAATGCTAATTACTCGCCACTTATGGGTTTTCGAGGTCATTTCTTGGTGATTGTGTATTATTCTGGATGTATTTAAATAGTTAGGCACATTCAATTTTAGTTCAGAGAGAAAAAGTATTTTTGGCCAAAATCCTTTAAGGCAATAGACTTACAATTTTTGTCATTTTCGGCCAAAAAATGGATTTTGTTAAAAATTTCAGTATAGGTACTCCTGAATGTGCTGCTTAAGGATCTGTTAACCAAAATTTGATATCTTGATTATAACTTGTTCAAATGGCTTTTAGAAAATGTTCAAATGATTTTTAGAATATTTTAATTACTTTTGCAATGCTAATTACTCGCCACTTATGGGTTTTCGAGGTCATTTTTTGGTGCTTGTGTATTATTGTGGATGTACTTAAATAGTTAGGCACATTAAATTTTAGTTCAGAGAGAAAACGTATTTTTGGCCAAAAATCCTTTAAGGCTTTAGACTTACAATTTTTGTCATTTCCGGCCAAAAAATGGATTTTGTTCAAAATTTCAGTATAGGTACTCCTGAATGTGCTGCTTAAGGATCTGTTAACCAAAATTTGATATCTTGATTATAACTTGTTCAAATGGCTTTTAGAAAATGTTCAAATGATTTTTAGAATTTTTTAATTACTTTTGTAATGCTAATTACTCGCCACTTATGGGTTTTCGAGGTCATTTCTTGGTGCTTGTGTATTATTCTGGATGTACTTAAATAGTTAGGCACATTAAATTTTAGTTCAGAGAGAAAACGTATTTGTGGCCAAAAATCCTTTACGGCTTTAGACTTACAATTTTTTGTCATTTTCGGCCAAAAAATGGATTTTGTTCAAAATTTCAGTATAGGTACTCCTGAACGTGCTGCTTAAGGATCTGTTAACCAAAATTTGATATCTTGATTATAACTTGTTCAAATGGCTTTTAGAAAATATTCAAATGATTTTTAGAATATTTTAATTACTTTTGCAATGCTAATTACTCGCCACTTACGGGTTTTCGAGGTCATTTCTTGGTGCTTGTGTATTATTCTGGATGTACTTAAATAGTTAGGCACATTAAATTTTAGTTCAGAGAGAAAACGTATTTTTGGCCAAAAATCCTTTAAGGCTATAGACTTACAATTTTTGTCATTTTCGGCCAAAAAATGGATTTTGTTCAAAATTTCAGTATAGGTACTCCTGAACGTGCTGCTTAAGGATCTGTTAACCAAAATTTGAAATCTTGATTATAACTTGTTCAAATGGCTTTTAGAAAATGTTCAAATGATTTTTAGAATATTTTAATTACTTTTGCAATGCTAATTACTCGCCACTTATGGGTTTTCGAGGTCATTTCTTGGTGCTTGTGTATTATTCTGGATGTACTTAAATAGTTAGGCACATTAAATTTTAGTTCAGAGAGAAAACGTATTTTTGGCCAAAAATCCTTTAAGGCTATAGACTTACATTTTTTGTCATTTTCGGCCAAAAAATGGATTTTGTTCAAAATTTCAGTATAGGTACTCCTGAACGTGCTTATGATCTGTTAACCAAAATTTGGATATCTTGATTATAACTTAAGTTCAAATTTTGCTTAGAAAATGTCTAAATGATTTTTAGAATATTTTAATTACTTTTTGCAATGCTAATTACTCGCCACTTTGCGGGTTTCGGCGTCATTTTTGGTGCTTGTGTATTATTCAGGATGTACTTAAATAGTTAGGCACATTAAATTTTAGTTCAGAGAGAAAAAGTATTTTTGGCCAAAAATCCTTTAAGGCAATAGACTTACATTTTTTGTCATTTTTGGCCAAAAATGGATTTTGTTCAAAATTTCAGTAGGTACTCCTGAATGTGCTGCTTAAGGATCTGTTAACCAAAATTTGATATCTTGATTATAACTTGTTGAAATGGCT